CTCAATGATCACTCCCAAAAACTTAAAAGTAGCCACCCTCTCCACACGTTCTCCACCAATAAACAGTGGCTGGATGTCCGTTTTGTTCCTCCTATAGTCCACTACCAATTTCTTGGTCTTGGTGGTGTTGAGGATCAAATTATTTCTCCTGCACCAAACACAAAGCCGTTCCACCTCGTCCTGATAAGCAGACTCATCATTCCCAGAGATGAGCCCTACCACAGTGGTGTCATCAGCAAACTTGATGATGGTGTTACTGGGGTGGGTGGGGGTACAATCCTGTGTGTAGAGGGTATAGAGCAAGGGGCTCAATACACAGCCTTGTGGAGAACCGGTATTAAGGGTAAGGGCTGTGGACATATAGGACCCTACTCTAACCCTCTGGGGGCGGGCTGTCAAAAAGTTCAAAATCCAGAAACATATGGAGCTGGAGAGTCCAAGGCCCTCCAATTTGGACACTAATCTATCTGGGAGGATGGTATTAAAGGCAGAACTGAAATCCACAAACAACAGCCTCACATAACTCCCCGGCTGCTCCAGATGTGACAGAGCAGTATGCAGAGTAGTGTTGATGGCATCCTCTGTGGATCTGTTTGCCTTATATGCAAACTGGTGACTATCCAGTGTAGATGGAAGACATGAGACGATGTGACTACGTACCAATTTCTCAAAACACTTCATCACAACTGGAGTGAGTGCAACTGGTCTATAATCCTTTAGACTGCTGATTGTGGATTTTTTGGGCAGGGGAACAATAATTGAGGACTTTAGGCAAGACGGAACAATAGACTGGTGTAAGGACCGATTGAAGATCTTAGTAAAACCCCTGCCAACTGGTCAGTTTAACGTGCAACACTTTGCCTTGGAAAACTCTGTTGACTTAGGAAATATGTGAGGCCCCTTTCAAGTAGAAAAACACCTGAGATTTTTGCTAGTCTGACTGCAGTCAAATGGCTTTGATCGTAATATATTTCCAGGCTGTTTTCCCTGATTCCCAAGTTTAAGGGAACTTCTCCTTAGCATCTCTTACAATTCTTGGGCATCCATCCAAGGCTTGACTGGAGAGTACTTAAGACATTGATCTCCGTATTCAACTGGTGCATCCCTGATTGGGTTTTAAAAAGTAGCAGCCTTTTGTTTTTTGTTCTGATAATTCCATCTATTCAACAAGATCAATATTCCTTTCTGCTGTTAATTCCCAAATAGTGTCACTACCTTCCCAAAAGGTGACCAACGGTGCAGGCCTGTTGTCTCTAACAATAGCATGGTCTAGTGGTTAGATTGCTGGATTAGAGTCTGAGAAATTCTGGTTCAAGTCTCCACTCTGCCATGGAAGCTTGCAGGGTGACCTTGGGCCAGTCATCTATCTTCGCCTCACCTCCCTTGCAGAGGAAGAGAGGAGAACTATGTCAGCGCCTTTGGGTCCCCACTGGGGAAAAAGGCAGGACATAAATAACAAGTAAACAAATCCAGGTGCTGCTACAACTTTTTCACAGGATTTTTATTTTTAGTGAGTGGCAGACATAATTCCCCCCCTCAAAACCCCACACCCTTTACTCATGAGGTAAATTCAGGGAAGCAGATCCCCAGGCAGTGTTTGATTATTATTTTTTTAAGTCAAGGCTGTCCCCCCCCCCCTTCAATTTCAGGGACAGAGAATGAGCCATGGCAGCCGGGAGTCTCATCAAGGAGTTCTGTGGGGAAACGACTTGTTCCATCTGCCTGGACTACTTCAGAGAGCCCGTGACCATTGAGTGTGGGCACAATTTCTGCCAAGCCTGCCTCACCCGGTGCTGGGCAGAGTCTGACAGGGGCGCTTCCTGCCCTCGGTGCAGAGAAGTTCTCCAGCAGAAGAACTTCAAGCCAAACCGGCAGCTGGCGAACCTTGTGGAACTTGTCAAGAAACTTCGGGTGGGAAAAGGAGTGGACGGGGAGCAAGGAAAGTGCGAGAGGCACCAGGAACCCTTGAAGCTCATCTGCTTTGATGACCAAGCCCCCATCTGCGTGGTGTGCGACCGATCGACGGAACATCGAAACCACAGAGTGCTTCCTGTGGAAGAGGCTTTCCTCGAGTATAAAGTAAGAAAACATTACACTAGCTTGGGGTATCTGGATCCATAAATGACGATGCAGGATGTACTGTCAGCTTTAGACCAATTAGGTTTGGGGAGGAATGGATGGAGTTATGATTTATGTTATTTATAATCCACCTTTCTTATTGGGACTCCAGGCAATTATGCAAGGAAGTGGCCTCCTCGCCTATCTTAATGTTACTTGGCTTTTTAGTGTAAAGTTCTGGTCACCACACCTCAAAAAGAATATTATAGCATTGGGAAAAATGCAGAAAAGGACAACTAGAATGATAAAAGAGTTGGAACACTTTCCCCATGAAGAAAGCTTAAAACGCTTGGGGCACTTTAGCTTGGCGAAACGACGGCTGAGGGGTGACATGATCGAGGTTTATAAGATTATGCATGGGATAGAGGAGGTAGAGAAAGAAGTACTTTTCTCCCTTTCTCACAATACAAGAACTCGTGGGCATGCAATGAAATTGCTGAGCAGTCGGGTTAGGATGGATAAAAGGAAATTCTTCTTCACCCAAAAAGTGATTAACACATGGAATTCACTGCCACAGGAGGTGGCGGCGGCTACAAGCATGGAGGGCTTCAAGAGGGAATTGGATAAAAACATATGGAGCAGAAGTCCATAAGTGGCTATTAGCCACAAGGTATAGATAGGAACTCTCAGGCTGGGGCAGGTGATGCACTGTATTCTTGGTGCTTGGGGGGGCAACAGTGGGAGGGCTTCTAGTGTCTTGGCCCCACTGCCGGACCTCCTGATGGCACCTAGTATTTTTGGCCACTGTGTGACAGACTGTTGGACTGGATGGGCCATTGGCCTGATCCAACATTGGCTTATGTTCTTATGTAAGTAGACTGATAAGGAAAGCCTGTCCCCAAATCCAAGTCATCCCAATCCAGTGTGCCTTGCAAAACGAGCCTGTAACAGGCCTACAGGGGTGAAGGAGTAAAACCGCACATGCGCTCTTACTAGCATGCATGAAGAGGAGGCTGGGGTATAAATCAAAATAATAATAAATAAGTAAATAAGATACACAAGGGAATCCTCCCCCACCTCTCTCCTTTTTTCCACCTAACCTCACCCCCACTGGCATGCCTGGAGACCGTCTCTTGCCTTGCTCTGTAATCCAGTTTCTTTCTCTGGTCATCTAAATGTAGGCTGACCAAATTTAGAAACAGAATACAAGTAGAAACGTGAAAGAAGTTGTTTTGCTTCCTTGTATCCTCCCACCCCCCAAACCAGTTCTTTCCCACTTGTTTCTATAGCAGATACAGTCCTGTAATGCATTCTTTCTGTTCCCCAATTATCTTAAATCAGAAATCCATTAATGTCAAAAAATTACTGCACCTTGCAGATTTGGACTTGAGGAAGATCCATTCACTAGGAGTCCATTTTCATTCAGAGATGGAGAACCTCACGCAGACCAACTTGGGAAGTTTCAGGAACAGATTAACACCACCTGTCTTTGCTGCTCCTTGTCCCATCTCCCCCCACGTCTCCTTGTTGACTGCCTCTTTTCCCCCTCTTCTCTGTCTCCTGTTTCCTTCTCTGCCCTGCTTTGTTTCCCCCCTCCCCCACACTGGTCCCCATCTCTAAACCCATTTTGAGAGTCCCTGGAACACTCTGTTCTGTGGGTTTGCCTTGGCAAACTAAAACAGTGCTGAAGTCTCACAAGGGGGTCTTGTGAGATCTTGGACATTAGAGTAAATCAGAAAAAGTTGTGGCATAGTGAAAGCTGTGTGATCCATTCATTATCCAATCAACCATTATCTATGTACTAGTAGCGAATATAGCCAAATCTGAAATACTTAAATACAGTGACTGAAGTTGCAAATGGGCAAGGCAGATCTTTCTACAAATCTGAAAAGGACTGCAGGCTTGCAGAAAAATTAAATCTTAGAAAGAACGTTAGAGGTTTAAAAATTCCAAAATGATAAAAGGAGCACCTGTAGCTTTAAGAAATAGAAGCTTCAGTGGCTGCTGCTAGGCAACCCCAGCTTTCCAAGCTGGTTTTCTGTGATTAAAAGGGCAGGTGCAACAATCCCATCTGAGTGGGGCCTTAGTTAGTACTACTGGATTCAGATTCTCAGTCTGTTCTGACTGATCACCTCGTCTTTCTGCGGGATGACCAGTTTACTCTAAAAAGTCTCTTTAAGGATTGTATCTCTTGTGGATTGAGGATGTCTGCCAGATATGAATCCCTATCAATAAGTCAGGCACCAGTGCTTTTGAAAGGCAAACAGCACAATTCTTTATTCACAGAAACTCAACAGGAGGGAGAATATTTGCACAGAATATATTATTTCTGTTTGGTCTGAATGTTTCACTCTGCATTAACATAGGCTGTAGTGCTATAACTCTAAATTTGTCACAGACTGTCTTTGGTACCTTGATACCATCTGTGATTTCCTTCTCCGGTAACTGACTGGCTAGACCTTGGACTTCTCCACCTGGCTCCCTGGGACTGACTGGTAAGACTATTCCAGCTTTTCCCAGTCTCTTCCAGACCCCTAGTCCTTCCTTTAACCACCTCACCAGTTCCCTTCTAGAAGTGTGCATGTTGCTTTGTGACTACAGTTTCTCCTCTCCATTCACTATCCTCTCTCATTAGAGGGGACCAGTTAGGAGTGTTATCCAGCCCCAGTTTTCCTCAAACTGCTGGCGTGCTTTTACACTCCGCTCCAGAGGCTCCTTCTTTTTTCCAAGAGCTCCCCAGATAACACCCTAACTGTCAACGGTCAACACTTAACTGCCACTCCCTGAGAATTCCGAGCAACCTGCCCCCTCCACTCTCAGTCATGTGACCCAGCAGCTGTCTTGTTTTCCTGCTGCTGATCAACAAACCTTTAGTTCATCACAGCAGGATACTTTCTAGGGCTGTTTTGGCCTTTGAGGGAGGGCTTCTCAAGGCTATCCCTGACTAGGGTTGGTGGCTTTAGGTTGGAGAAAATTATATGTCTCATGTAAGTCTGTAGAAGCTTCCATTTGTATATTCTAATAGCCAAGTCGGCCAAACCTGGGGATGCTTAGCTCCAATGACTGGAGCTGTGAACAGGAAAGACAGATCTATCTACAAACCTGAAAAATGTCCCAGGTTTGCAGGAAAATGTGAAATCTTTTTTAAAAACCGTGAAGTGGGGCTTTAAAAAACTCCAAAACGATAAAAGGAACACCTGTAGCTTTAAGAAATGGATTCTCTTAGTGGCTGTTGCTGGGCGACCACAGATTTCAGGCTTGTTTCTGTCAGTAAAAGGCAGGGGGAGGGGCAGGGCCCTTTCAAGACCTCTTTTGGCCTTTGAGGGAGGACCGATTGGGGCCAGGCCTGACTAGGGTTGCCAACTCCAGATTGGCCTTGAGATTTTGTGGGGAATTTCTAGAGATTTTGTAGGAGAGTCTGAGGGGAGCAGAGTTTGGGGAAGAGAGAGGCTTCTGCTGAATATAATGCCATAGAATCCAGCCTCCAAACCAGCTATTTTCTCCAGGGGAGCAGTTCTCTGTCATCTGGAGTTCAGTTGTAATTTTGGAAGATCTCCAGGTCTCACCTAGAGCTTGGCAACCCATGGCATGACAGAAACCTCTGGGTGACTTGATGTCACCCAACTTGCATGACTCAACGACACCTGACTGCTTGCTGCTGTTCAACAGCAGCCACTCTATGATAGCCAGTGCGGTAAAGCAGTTACAACTTCAAAGTAGGCTCTGGGAGATCCAGATTCAGACCCCCATTTTGCTTTGGACTCTCTCTGGGTGATGTCAGATCAGTCATGTACTTTCATCCTAACCTGCCTCACAGGGTTGTTGTGAAGAGAAAAAGGAGGAGAATAAGTTGATTTGATCTGCACTGCAGAGCAGGTTGGTATATAGATTCTACCCTCCAAAGCAGCCATTTCCTCCAGGTGAGGTGGAGAACACCTGGAATTACAACTGCTCTCCAGATGGCTGAGATCCATTCCCCTGGAGAAAATTACTGCTTTGGAAGGTGGACTCTGTGGCATTATACCCTGCTGAGGTCACGTTGCCCTCCTAAGACTCCACCCCCAATCTTCAGAAATTTCCCAACTTGGAACTGGCAACCCTAAGGGGAATTGATTTCTGTAGTTGAGAGATCCATTGTGATTCCAAGAGATCTCCAAGTTGGCCAACTTACAAGGACTGAAGCAAGCCGGAAAAGGGGAAAGGCTGCAGAGGCTTTCAGGAAAGGGAAAGGAACTAGTGGAGGAGCAGGAAATGAGATGCCCCCCCCCCAAGTCCCTAAGCATTCCCACTTGTTACTTTCTAAGGAAGCCCTTAATAGTTGTGGGGGGGGGGCTGAACTCCCCCAGATCACTGGCTTTTCCTGTTTTTGCAGAAAGAGATCCAGGCTGAGCTGCAGTCTCTGGAGCAAGAGAAGGGAACACTTCAGGAACAGAAAGTGGCTGATGATCAGAGAAGCCAAACATTTTTGGTAGGTATAAAACCACCTGGGTTGTGGTTGGGCCTTGACTGGAAAAGTCCTTGAGTCTTCAGGCCACGAGACAACAGAAATCTTGGCCATAAGTGTTCATTGCTGTCTTGATTCTGTATGGTGCATGCATTTAGAACGATCCCTTTATACTTCCTGCATTGAGTGGTGACCAATACAAATGAATGCTGTTTATTATTTAGTCACAAGGGCTTCCCAATAATTTTACCCCCAAAAAATGCAGGAGATGTAATCCATAAAACATTAATGGATAAAGTTGCTTAAATCTGTAAATGGCTACCAAAAAAGTAGAATGCAACTTACTCTGGTTTTTGCAGCGTATCAGGGAACAGGACGGGCAAACCAATACACCATATATGCCTGTTCTATGCAACCGTCAAGGTGCATTTATCATTTTTTAAAAAACGTAATTGTCTATCATAACAGAGACATCACATATCTTATCCAACAGGCAAATAAGTAGGTGTTGCCTAGGTCCCATGCATGGAAGACAAAAAAGACAGTTTAGGAGGGGCAGTCTTGATTTATATAGATATCTATATGCTGCCTCCCCACCAATACTGTCCAAGAGGGACATGTATGTACATAAGTGCTGTCAAGTCGCAAACAACTTCTTGTGACCCCAGCAAGGCAAGTGAGAAGCAGAGGTAATTCGCCATCGCCTTCCTCTGCAGAATCTTCCCAAGTGGTCTCCCATCTGAGTACCAACCCTGCTTCGCTTCCGAGATCTGACAAGATTCAGCTATACAATGATACCTTCCTCTCCAAGAGGTATACAGTTACCAAACTATAACATGACACATAAAAACAAAGTGAAAATTCATCAGGACAAACAGTGGCTAAAAACCAAGTAAATCATAATGCACCTGATGGAAGCCAATGAATTGCTTGATTAAGCACTATTTGAAAGCTTTGCTTGGTACTGAAAAAATCCTCAGATAAGGTGCCAGGAAAGGGTTGGGGCCTCCCACAGCATAGTCTGACACTAAAGAAGACACCACATGTGCCTATTCCATGTTATCCCCCCCCCAGTATCACTTGTATTGGGGGCTATTCAAACCCCCCCACACACATTCAGGTCAACCAAGTATATGTTTTGTGTAGGTAAGAATTTATAATTGGAAAACTCAGATGGATGGTGTGGAGAAATGGCTTCTGCCCTGTAATTGGCCCCAGTATTTCATGGTTTGGGGCTGCAAACCCACACTTACTGTAAAAGCTATCCTTCTGGAAAGAGAGAACAGAGAACACAAAGCAAACGCCTTGGCTGGAATGTCACACTCCTGGAAGACAAAAACAAATTCTAGATTGTGTCCCTTGGGTGGGGGGCTGGGGGAAAGAACAGGAAAAGAATCTCTGACTGACACAGGAAGAAGGGAAGCACAAGACAGAGCAGAGACTTATCAGAGAATCTACTTTGGGATACCTTACTGAGAGCTCTTTTACCTGAGCTCCATCTCGATGGCAGCTGTAACCTCTTGGGAGCTGACACTGGGCAGGCGGTCTGGACAAAGACTGTGAGATAATGGACGGCTGTTGGACACAGTAACTGTATTTAAGAATATGATCAGTCAGCATGAATGATCTCCTCAGCAGGATGGTGTGAAGGATGGACAAAAATCCTGCCCCATTCTGAAAAACAGAAAACAGGAAGGAAAGGTTGCATCAGTGCTTAGTTCCTGTGGCTCTTTCTTAAATACCCAGGGAAATGCTTATCACCACTTTGGGATCAGGAAGCAATTTTTCTCCAGGACAGTTTGGTTGCAGATCCTAGAGGTTTTTTTGTCAATTTCTGGGCATGGAACAGTGATCACAGCGGGTGTGGAGGGGGGTGGGGTATTTGTGAATTTCCTGCATTGTGCAAGGGCTTGGACTAGATGACCCTGGAGGTCCCTTCCAACTGTATGATTCTATAATTGTAAATGAATGGGCCCAGCAACACTGTGTTATACCTATTTATCCTTTTTCTGAACTCCCTTAGAATAAATAAAATTTACTGTTCTTCTCTGGTCACCCTCATGAGTGCTGACCGTACTACATTCAGAAGCTGCTTAGCTTAAGTTTGTTAGGCGGAGGTCTGGGAGAGAGACCACCACACCAGTCAAGCCTCAGGTTACTCTGCCCCTGTTTCAACCTCAGTTAAGACCCCAGCCTTCACAGATGACTATTAAGAATCCTGTCTTTAGCGGCGAAAAGTCATCAGCTTGATTCTCTGTCATATTATGATTCTGATCTTGGGGCTGCACCTGATTTGCCTTCCAGAGACGACTTGCCCCTTTCTGAATTTCCATGTGTTTCCTGCAGACACAGTTACAAGCGGAGAAAAAGAAGACCAAGTCAGCCTTTCAGCAGTTGCAGAATTACCTTGAGAAGGAGGAGCACCTCAGGCTATCCCGGCTGGAAGAGATGGAGAAGGAGATGGTGAAGAGGAACGAAGAAAACGGTGCCAGATTCTCAGAGGAGGTTTCCCATCTCAGTCGCCTGATCACGGAGATGGAGGAGAAGTTCCAGCAGTCAGAAAATGAATTTTTACAAGTAAGAAACTAAAATCATGTCAGGAAATGCAGGAAAACCTCAGAATAGGAGTAAAGAAAGCCCAGTAATAAGAATGTGAGGTGGTTCTATGCCAAGCAGAATAGGAAATAACCCAGTGAGTTTTCAGTCTGCGTAAATGAGACCCACTTCTTTCCCTTTCTCTTTCAGGATCCCAAAACTATCCTGAGCAGGTACGTGACTTTTTATCAATCCCCTTACTGTCAAATTTGTCTAATAATTTCAATCCCTTTTTTAACAAGAGATGTTTTGACAGAAACATCCTATAAAAGGCTTTGAGGTGCCATCAGCACTTTTAAAAGTCTTCTTCCAGTGGAGAAAGTGAAGGATCCTGAAATATTTCCTGAGCACTGTAGGATCTTTCCCCCTCCTTGGGATCTGACATCCTCCAGGTTTTGAGGAGAGAGTAATGGGGCTTAATTCCCACTTGTGATTCATCCAGGTCAGCATTTCGCATGATGTACTCTGCATATATATTAAATAAGCAAGGTGACAATATACATCCTTGTTGTACTCCTTTTCCTATGCTAGACCAATCAGTTGTTCCATATCCGGTTCTAACTGTCGCTTCTTGACCCTTATACAGGTTTCTTAAGAGACGTGAGGTGGTCTCTGGTACTCCCATCTCTTTATTGTGATATGAGTGCAATTGTGCGATAGTTTGAACATTCCTTGGCATTGCCCTTCTTTGGGATTGGAATGTATACTGACCTTTTCCAATCCTGTGGCCACTGTTGCATTTTCCAAATTTGCTGGCAAATTGAGTGC